CCCCAAAACCCCAAAACCCCAAAACCCCAAAACCCCTATATTTTCATAAAGATTGAAATATTTAAAGCAATGAAGCCAGCCAAGAAAGTCAGCTTTGTGTCTACGAATACTTCAGGTATGATGCATGAAGTCTTGAGAGTTAAGCTTGTAAAAGATTACTGTCAAAAAGCTCCTCTTCGGAGAAGACGCTCTCAAATAGAGATTGTTAAAAAGGAGGATAATGGTATGTCCGAAACATTGTTTTAATTTCATAATTTGCTAATTTACAAATAGGATCACCTTTAAAAATGTATAAGACTAAAACATTCAAAAGAATGTTCAACTCAATGAGTGCTATGTCAAAGAACCAAAGTCAGACTCCTAAGGGTATCAGTTAGAATAAGTAATCTTATAGTTGATTTTTATCCTAAATAAGCAGACAAAGTTAGTACCCCCTGATGGAATCGAGATTAAATATCCTCTCCGGTTAGATGTGCAATCTGTTGAAGAATTCAAGCAAGAAATTCTGAACACAATCCAAAACTCTAAAGTCGCTATAAATGGCTTCATGATGAAAGAGATTGATAAATAAGCTGACTCAGACTTTCTTCACCTCCAAAAAATCCCAGTTAAATAAGAATAAAAAGAAGGGAATTAAAGAGAATAACTCAAAATTATATGCTGTTTCTTCAAATTCTGAAATAAAGGATTCCCAAATTCTTCATTCAGAAGTCCAGACTCCTGATGAAAAGGCGTTCAAGAATATGATTTATTCGCATTATTACTCCAAAATTCAGGAATGTAATGAATATTATGAGAAACTTATGAAGAAATAAGCCTCAGACTGCACATGAGCAGAAGAGGAGGAAACCCTTTTTAATGACATCTCCTTCTAAAAAGAAGAAGAAATTACACAGACAGGGTTCTATCAAGAACGCTCCTAATTTTCAGAATGAGGAGGTCAACGATCTCCTCAGGTCTGGTAAGTTGAAAGCAGCAGGAAGAAGAGGCTCTCTGATGAAGGTCATTGATGAGTCTAAGAGGCTTTTCTTACCAAATCTAAGCAAGAGAATGAACAAGATTAAAAATTACAGACTTTAAGCACAAGCAAGACCGTTTTACGTTTCAACGTTATATTTAGTCAGAGGGGTTTTGGGGTTTTGGGGTTTTGGGGTTTTGGGG